CATCCATCCATCCATTCATCCATCCATCCATCCATCCATCCATTTCTAGTTTCATTGGGGTATTGAATTTTTGGCCATCTGTGCAATGTCTGGAAGGTCTTGGGAGCAGAAAATTACTCCAGAGCCCCCAAGGTTGCCTACCCCAGCAGAGGAATTGTTTTATTCGATTGTATAAGACCTACAGTCATTCATATTCATAAACACAAGTGTATACAGTGCAGTCAATACAGAGAAACTGTGTTAAAGCAATCTCCATATTTCATAAACAGTTCCACTGATCTTATTCTCTCCATATTTATTTTTCAGTGCTGATAAACATTTTAAGGTTGCCAATTCAGGATTAAATCCTATTATAGTCCCAACTAGAATTAAGGCTTAGTGCAATTTTGATCTCAAACACTGAAACCAATGAGACTTACACATTACTGGTAACTCACAAGTTTCTTTCATCTTAGTAGGTCTTTTTGAGCCTGAATGAAGTGTGGATTTAGCCTTTAAATCTATCCCACAGAGGTTATTAGGTGACTGTAGGAAAAGAATGAAAGAAATGAAAATAGTTGTTCCAAATTCTGGTATCTGTATATACGATGAGTAGCAAAATGGCAAAATGACAGGGGAAAAATTAGAGTGGTCATTTGATTTCCACAATCAAAGCTACATACTGTATATATGATGAGTAGCAAAATGGCAAAAAAAATTAGAGTGATCATTTGATTTCCACAATCAAAGCTACATAAATTTGTTAAATCTAAAGTGTTACTCTCTGGACTGATGTGACCACCAGAACATCCCAAGTGGTTGTAGACCTACCCTGCTTCTTTTCTTGAATCACTCACCTTGGGTCTCTAATCTCAATTCTTTTTGTGAGTATGATGAGTAGCAAAATGGCAAAAAAAATTAGAGTGATCATTTGATTTCCACAATCAAAGCTACATAAATTTGTTAAATCTAAAGTGTTACTCTCTGGACTGATGTGACCACCAGAACATCCCAAGTGGTTGTAGACCTACCCTGCTTCTTTTCTTGAATCACTCACCTTGGGTCTCTAATCTCAATTCTTTTTGTGAGTAATATATATCTGTAGAATCTTCATTGCCCCCCTAGCCCAGAATAAAGATGCAAGACCAGAATTGTGGATTCAACACTTTATTGAAATCCATCAAAGTTGCCAATACTTTGGCAAAGGGGGGGTCCTGCCATAGTGCGGACTCAGGTTTGAACACATCTGAACAGACCCTTTAACAAACAACTGGGTGAGTCCCTGGCCCAAATTTTTGCAGCCATGAAGACCACAATAAACCCGGCCAGCCAAAATTGGACAACCCCCGAACCACAAGCCATCCTCTGCCTGTTGACTGTTGGTCCAGGTGCAGCCCCAGTGTATCTTCGCGCCCCCCCCCCCAGCACAGTAATTGCACAATCTGCGGTGCTGGGAGTTCAGATGAGCTATAATTACCTGATATTTCTATGGGACTCACCAAAATCCAGGAAGACATCCAAACCTCGTTTGGATAGATGTATGCCATCTGACCAAAAAAAAAAAAACACCTCTGGCCTATCCATACGGATCTTATGGTGACCAATTACCAATTCTAGGCCACTGAAAACAGCTCTGCAGGCTTCCCTGTTAACACTCCTTCGAGCAGTGTTTACGGGCAAAAAATTTCTCGCATCCCTCCATACCAGCCGAGGGACGATGGTTGACCAAACAATACACATAGCCAGGTATGTGGCCCTCAACCAGGTGAGATCACAAATAACATCAATGATCAGGGCCTTTCCACTGTGCCTGGTCAAATCATTACCACCCAGGTGTATTACCAACACCTCTGGGGGACGATAACCGAAGGCGGCTGCATGGCAAATCTGGTTCCATAGCAAACCTCGGTGCCCTCTCCACTCAATAAGGGCCCTTGCTTCGAGTCCAAAATAACCCCCCCATGGGGACATGGCAGCATACCGCGCTGCCCAAAAAACATACAATCATGATGTGTCTTGTACCTGTAAGACATGGATCATGATGTGTCTTGTACCTGTAAGACATAAACAAAAACCAGGCCGCTGCCTAGACGTTAGGAAGTGCCCTAACATAACTGTGATAAGAGGATGAAGTCCACCATCTTATTTGTTTGATATCCTCTGGGCGGTAACTCAGGACCACTGCCATACACGCCGCACCAGTTCTACAGGAGTGTGTCCCAAATCTCAGTCCTTGAACTCCTAACTTATGTAGAGCTAAATCGGTTAACTTCCAGAACTGGTACCTCATCAGAGGGGAACCATCCTCATGTATAAAGAAATATCCTGGGCTTGATCCTCTAAGGATCAAGTATGCGTCAATAGCCTTCACTGGGCAGATTGGTTCAGTGTGATAACGTGACAGGGTGATACCTGCTCCTTTGCCCCACTGATCGGCCTTGGATCATTGGATGCAAATCTGCACTGTCCCATCCACTACCCTGACATCCTGTCATTGTAAACCTACCCTGGTTTTGTCCCCTTCCCTGAGGCGACTACCTCGCTAATCCTGAGGGCTCCAAAGAATGTTAATAAGGACGCTGCCCTGAATAAAGCAGCTTCATACTTGTCCCTACAGAGAACCTCCCACTGCTCACAAATGCCTTCTAACAGTTCAGGTGATATGGCAGCTCTAGTGTCCTTTACTCTGCCCCTTTCCTTAGACCAGCCTTTGATCATTTTTCTAAGGTGGTAGTCTGATGAATAGTCCTGGTACCCATTGATTTTCGCATAGAAGGCTATGGCCAATAACCTACCCCGTATAGTTCCTAGTGCCAAATCTTTCCTATTTAGATACACTATAAACAGTTGATGATGTTCAACTGGGGCAGGCCACATTGGGTCCAAGCCCACCAGGCTCCTAAATATGTGAAAGTCCATACTCATAGCAGAGTACCCCTTTTGCGTCCTTGGTGCCAGGGCCAGGCCTATTGCCCTTTCCGCATCATCACGCCAATTTGCCAGACCTCTGGGGGAAGAGTCTCTGGGAACCTGTTGGCTCCTAGAACTAACTCTCTGAATTGCTCGATCTGCTGGCATGATAATGCATCCGCTAAGCTATTCTCTACACCCAGAACATGCCTGGGCTGTACCAGAATATTAAATGTTAGGTCGCGCAGTGTGAAAGATGTTTTAAAGTAGAGGTATAATCGATCCCTATTATTCAACTGAAAATACCCGAGAACAACAGATTAATTAAGGTCTAAAATATCTTTATATATATTTATTTATTTTTATTTCCTTTTTTTTTACTGCTTGCGCCATTGCGTGGCTCATGCAAGCCGCGTGGTTACTTCCCGCCCCTTGGTGCTGCTCTAAATTAAATCAAATCAATATACAGTAATTTCAAAAAAAACAAGAAATAGTAAAACAATATACAGTAACGATAATCAAACTGGGGGAGGGAGCTGATCCAGACGCTGAGCTGTGCGGGCCTCGAAACCAACTACATAGTTGTATAGAGAGCCGAACAGCTGAACTCCATCCTTGACCTTGCCATCAAAGGAAGAGGAAGAGGAGAGGGGGAATGGTCCTTAAATAACCTACTGTTCCCCCCTCTCCCTCGAGTTACTCATGCAAGAGTGTGGGGTCTCACCTCATCTGGGAAAGAAGGCAAGCCGCACTGCCGAAGTGTGGCTCTGCAGCAGCTTCATCATCTGCCAATGTCTTCCCTTTCTACATTCACTTCCATTGGTTAGTTGGCTGGCTGGCTGGTTTTAACAGGATGAGGTCCATCCCAAATTTCACTCCTTTCTCCAAATGCACATATCCTTGTGCACACATGTTAAATTGTATACATTTCTACAAAACATGCTCCTTGTGGACTAAAGAGTATAAAGCAATGATTTGCGTGCATTATTCATGCCTATTTTTTTTTTCATTCCAACTTGAGTAGACCAATTGAAATAAAGGAAAGTTGTGATGCTTTTGTCAGGAAGTTGATTGCACACTCAGGACAACTCCTTTGGTTGTTACTCTTTTTTACTTTTTTTAAAAATATACTATTCCTTTCAAAGAGCTTGAGTCGGGGGGAGGGTGTTGTGAGATGATGGATGACCATGGAGCAGAAACGTGAGAATGTTGAGGATCATTCATCTTGTGGCTGGATACTTTTAAGGAACTTATAACTTATGTAACTATGTTTGCCTTCACTAGCTGCCATTGATAGCAGAGGAGGTAAACCACTCATTGACATATTACCAACTTTTTCGGATTGGCCAGTAGCATCAGACAACTGGGACCTTGATTATGGTAGGACAATTTTGGTTATTTCTCCATTCCTATTTGCAAATGAAATATGAGGAGAATCATTTTCATCAACACACTGAGTATGATTTCTTTTTCACCGTTTCAGGCACCACGTGGGCAGCTGAAAAATCTATTGCGGAGCTAACCTCTCAGTATGGGAAAAGGGTCGTCATTAACTTTTTTGTTGGTACAGATGATAAAAACTCCACACAGCATATCATTCATGTAAGTGCATCCCTTTTCAAAAGGCCCTATGTATATTTCAAGAAAGGATAAGCAAAATTGGATTAAATAAAACAAAGTTCCAGTGTCAGATGCTTGCTACTCTTTAAAAGCACCAGAGGGTTTTGTTCTTTCTGCAACAAAGGTAACAAAATGGATGACTCTTTAAAACTGTACCTACACATCTGTTTGGGGTGGAACAAAGCCAAGCTTCACGTTCCATGGAAGCTGCTGATTTTGCTCTTTCAACATACTTTTGAACATGATTTTTTTAACATCATTTTAAAAAAAATGGCCATGGGAGACTGAAGCCAGTATTTTTCCCCTCATTCCATGCCTGTCCTGTCAAAATAGTGATAGGTACAATAGGAATGGGTCACTGTGACCTTAATAACCATGCAAAAGAAGAGTGGGAGGGAAACACAAGGATCTCAACAAAGCTTCTTTTGTTGTTATTGCGTCAAGTCACTCCTGACTTATGGCAAACCCATGCATAAGCAATCTCCAAAATG